GTAAAAATGACCAATTGCGCAATACATTATTAAATTCGATGACTAAAGAAACTAATATGGAGTTGAAAGACTAATATTAAACAAGGGGTAAAGTTCAAGGACTATTGCTACAATTAAGCCGTTTGTTTTATTGAAAAAGAAAACACATTAGGTTGGATGAGGATACTCTGCATTTTAGGCACACTCTCCATGCATGTGTCTACTTTCTAAATTAGAGTTGCTTGGGTCACACCGTTAATCTATATTACCTATTAATAGAATTCTTTTTGTTAATAAAAAAATCGAGAAAAATATAATTATACCTTTTCAAGCATAACTCAAAGAAAATATCAGAAAACTTATGAGCCATTTTATATGTTTTATTAATTCATAATGGTGAAATGGATTTTTGGCATTTAGAAAAATTAAGAGCCTTTTTATGAAAGAGTAATGATTTTGGCAATTTCGTTTAATTTCTGACACTTCAAAACAAATCTAGTTATACTTTATCATTTTAATACACTCGGAATGGTACGTCAGAAACTAAACTGAAAGTGCTAAAATCGTTAACCAGCTAAGATTGACCTCAACAAAATTGTGGGCTTCGGATAACAGCAAGTAACGAAAGAAAACTCAGCCCAAATTTAGCATTTTAAGGGCCCAAACGCACAGGGATATATGGGCCTGCAAATGGGATAACTTAGAACAGCCAGATAACAGTGTGAAATGTAAAGTGTTTTGATCATTCTCAAATTTTTACAACAATGGTAGCAAAAGGCACAAAGCAATAAACAAGCTAAGAAAAGAAAGGAGAATCCCACTGTGAGTTGTTCGTGAGCAATTAACAACCGTTGAATGTTGATTAGTTTGAGTCTCACGGTAAATCCCGATTTAATCAATGGATTTCAAATTTTCAATCACTCAACCAATGCGTGGACGACTGTGTTTGGTACAATTCTTATAGAAAATGTAACAGTGTACCTTCAATTAATAATTATGTTTTGGGCATCGAAATAGTCAGAGATAGAGCTAAAAGAGAATTGGGATTGTCCCAACAAAACTACATAAACAAAGTTCTTAAGAGATTCATTATGGAAGCATGTTTTGGTGATGATGTTCCTATTGGCAAGGGAGACAAATTTTCTGTTAATCAGTGTCCCAAAACAGATTACGAAATCGAGACCAAGAAGGATAAGCCTTATGCCTCATTGGTTGGAAGTGTCATGTATGCTCAGGTATGTACTCGACCAGATTTGGCCTTTGCAGTAAGTGTGTTGGAAAGATTTCAACAAAATCTAGGTGTCTCTCATTAGAATTCAGCCAAAAATGTTTTCAGGTATTTGCAGAAAACCATGTCTTACATGCTAATATATAATCATGTATATTCCCTTGATTTGGTGCGTTATAATGATGCTGATTTGGGTGGAGATATTAACGATCGTATGTCAACAAGTGGATACATTTTTCTCTTGGCAAATTGTGTTGTTTCATGGAAGAGTCAGAAACAAAAGACCCGAGCAGTATTAACCATGGAGTCTGAGTATATTGGATGCTTTCAAGTTGTTAGATATTCTAACTGGATTAGGAACATGATTTTGGATGTGAAGATTGTCAGAAACATAGAAAGACCATTGAAGCTATATTGTGACAATAGCTCAACTTTTTTCTTTTCTAAGAATAACAAGCGTTCTGAAGCTTCAAGGTTCATTGACATCAAGTATTTGGTGGTTCAAGACAAGGTCAGAGATAAGGTCATTGATATAGGGCATATCAGTACTTATAATATGGTTGTAGACACTTTAACGAAGGTAGTGACTATTACAACCTTCTAGAGATTAGTGCCAAAGATGGGCCTACATGCATCTCTTGATATGGTTTGAATGCGGGAGAAATGAACTATTTCTCTATTTTGTTTGAGCCTTTCGTATTGTTGACTAGATAGTGGACTTATCAGTGTTATAGATGAGTTTTATCTTGTAAGCAAATTAAATTATGTTGGTAATTTCTTATGATGTAATTTTCACGTGGATCTAGTATTCTTGACTATGCTTTGCAAAATTATTATGAAATTTTGGAATGTCTATGACATTAAAAGGACCAAAATGTGGGAAAGGGATACTCTTCAGATCCCTTCCTTCTAATCCACCGAGTTCGGGGATTCGGGTCATTGAAATTTGATCCAACAGCTAAAATTATTATAACTTGTAAAGTGGGCCCCTGTTTATAGCTGTTAGATCAAATTTCAATGGCTCGGATCCTTGAACTTGATGGATTAGGAGGAAGGGATCTGGAGAGGATCCCTTTCCCAAAATGTGGGAGCTTTATTGGTACCAAAATTTTCACCCATTGAGTCCCTAATTGCAATGATGACACTTAATATGGCACTCATGTGAGAGAATGTAAGATTCTGTCATGTGTATGAGTTTGCCACATCGTTTTATCTGTATTATATTAAATAAGACATATAATTATTCATGTTTAGGATATAAATAATATAAGTATTTATAACAAAATTGATTGGGCATAGAACTTTAAGGGAGTAGTTTAACCCACTCACATTATGGGAAGACAGTTTTCCTTAATAGGAGGAAACTGTCAACTATTGGATATATATGGATTTGGTCTCTCTTTTCACGATTATGTTCATTAAGAAGTTTTCCTTATTGAAACTGAACACCAATTGTCAAAGAGAAGAAGGCTAATTCAAGAACCATTTACTATGAATTCATCAAGTAAGTTTCACTGATTGTTTCCATAGAGTCAGTTCTAGTTAAACTATAAAAAAATGGTCCAATGAAAAAAAAGACAAGGTGTATCCGCTAGTGTACATGCTTATAACATTTAGCATTAACTCTGCCAATTGCTACTGCCACAGTTGAAAGGGCATTTTCGACCATGAAATTTCTAAAGAATCGATTGAGAAATCGAATGGGAGATCAATGGATCAATGATAACATGATTATTTTTATAGAGAGAGATATTTGCATGAAAACGTGTTGAGGAATATTGTAAGATGTTGTATAAAAAACTTTATAGATTAATATAGAAGTGTTTTGTGCAGTAAATTCTTGAGTTTTTTAGTTGTACCTTGTTGTTTGAGGATGACCCCATTCTTACAAATTTCTGGCTTCGTCCCTAGAGTTGATCCTACATTTGATTGTGATGTTAATTGTAGTTACTTGTATTTAATTGGTTTAGATCCTTAATTGAAAACTCTTACACTCCATTGTTCATCAGTGACAGTAAGTAGTACTGAACAGCTTAATCTTTTTTAATCTCTACGATTTTGATTGGTTTTAATCTCTTTTTCAAGATTTCAAGAATTGGGTTTTAAATTTTTGTTGGTTTCAAGAGAATTGGGTCTTCAATTTTGGTTTGTTTCAAGGATTTTTGTGGATTTGTCTGAATCTTGTTTTAAATTTGTTGTATTTTTCTGCATTTTTGCATTATGACACTCACTACCTGATTCTTTACTCTTTTTTATTTATTTATTTTTATTTCTCCTATGTTTGTTTATGATTTAAAAATGCTAGGAATTACAGATTTTATGGAAACGGAAGTGAACTTGATAGGAACTTAATTGGCAATGATCACTTGATATTCACATTGGCAATGATCATCATTTGGCATACCTTGGGACAGGTTTATTCATCTTCTCGTGCATCTGTGAGATTTTGGGTTGACAGGTGCTTTGTCTTAGTTTAATTGCTTGCTCAAAGTGGATCCTAATTAAGTATTGTTTCTCAATCGCTTGCTGAAGTGTACTATTTGAAATTCAGAATTTGCCCCTTTTTTGTTCTCATAATTCTTAATTTCAGTGCTACATTGCAATGATATTTTCTCGCTGAATTGCTGTTTCTATAAAGTTTAAAGAGTAAATTGTAACAATAGTCCCTAAACTTTAATCAAATTGGAGTAATGGTCTCTGAATTAAGAATCCATTACCATTGGTCTCCCAACTCATCAAAATGTGTGGCTATGATCATTTTCGTCAACTTTATTAGAATTTTATCAAAATAAGTTATGTTGGAATGACCATTGCTACAATTATGTTAAAGTTGGGGGACCATTTCTCCAATTGGATTAAAGTTGAAGGACCAATGGTAATGAATTTTTAGTTGAGGGGTCAGTGCTCTAATTGAGTTTAAGTTATGGAATCATTGTTACAATTTACTCAAGTTTATAAACTAAATGTTCATATAGACATCTTGAATAGGGGTGGAATTTATTCCCAAATTATCATGTCAATTGAATTCCCAACCATGTTAATTTGTAATGACACGATATTGTACCGAAACGAATATTTTGGTACAGTATTGGTATTCGATACCATTACCTATGGTATTACTGTACCGTACCATACCAAAAAATATAAATATATGTTATCCTATTCTTGATTTTTTTTTTTTTTTTTTTTTTGGGTGTCAAACGATAGATTTTGTTACAATAGATGTTAGATTAGCCATCGACGAGTTTTGAACTCATGTCGCCATACAAGGGATCGACACCTTTCCACCACACTGTGGTAAAGGGCCACTAGCAATTTCCTATTCTTGATTAAGTTGGTATAATATACAATGTTCTCAATGTTAATGTATCAAATCATGATTGAATTCTTTGTAATAAGTTCTTGCAAGTTTCTCATGGACATTTATAGAAAAGGATAAAATGATACACTTAGTAATCTAAATGACGTCATTGCAAAAACAAAAGTCCACTAAATCAAGTACAACATTTTCACTAAATCATAACTTCAAATTGCACTCTTCAATCTCCTTCTTCTCCAGCTGGAAGGAAGCATGGCTTACCAATGGTAGATGCGCGAGCTAAAACGATTTAGAAAAATATATTATCATGACACTATGTTTTATGTATAAAAATGCACTTAGCCCATCGTATTAATTGACTCAAAACTGCAATAATATTATTCGTTACATGGAAAAGTACTTACAGTCTACCCATCAGTCATTCTCGTCGCTTGATCAAAACCGTCCTCACATAAAGCCAATCGTATGCACTATTCACGAACTTGTAGTATGTATATCTCCATGACCTGATGATATCAAATTCCCACAAACTCCCCAAAATCCAACAACAAATCCAAGCACTAAACTCACGTAGAATCCTGATGTTATAAGCCCATCCTTCTCTTTAACTTGATCCTTGAACACTGGTTGCTCCTCCGAACTTGTTTTCACAGGAGAGCACAATTGTTGAAGTGGAATTCCACAAAGCAGAGGATTCCCAGCAAAATCAGACAACTCATAGTTTTGAAGCTGAGTCCCCATTGGAATTTTTCCTGACAGGTTGTTGTTTGACAAGTCCAACTTACCAAGGCCTGATATTTGAAAGAGACTTGTTGGAGTCATACCATGTATTTGGTTGTTTGATTGATCAAGTGAGTCTAGTGACTGCAACTTCCCGAACTTTGGAGTTATTTGACCTGTTAAATTGTTTCTCGACAGGTTCAAAGAAACCAACCCCACAAGATTAATGATTTCACTAGGAATCTCTCCCGTTAATCGGTTGCTTGACAGATGAATGCTCTTTACAAGCCCCATAGTACTTTTGTATTTGGACATTGTGCCTTTCCATATCAAGGATGTGTCGTCATTATAAGCACTGGCTAAGGAATTACGCCCCTTGTTGTCAAGGAGGAAAAAATGATTGATAGTTCGACTTAAACTTCCTTTTTGAGCCAAATAAGTCAACATGTTGAGGCATTTGGGTGTACTTCCAGAGATGTTATTCATCGAGAAATCCAGAATATGAATGCTTCCCATATTACACAATTGTAATGGAATGCTTCCATAGAAGTGATTAGAAAGGAGGACAAGGATTGCCAATATTGAAAATCCGACCCCTAACCATCCAGGTTTCAAACCTGATAATTTATTTTCTCCAACATCCAAAACTATGGACTTGTGCAGTTCTTCAAAGATGAAGGCAATTCCCCAACAAATCCAATCCATTGTTATTTAGCTTCATTGTTTGAATAGAACTCAAAGAGTCTACTATGGCAGGAATTTTCCCGGAAAAGGCATTGTCACTCAAATCAAGATAGACTAGATTTCCAAAATGCGTCCCACAATCGGGAAGTTCTTCAGATAATTGGTTGCTTGAGAGATCAAGAAAGGTTAAATTACTAGCCTTGATTGGAGTCTTTGGACAAAAGAATGAAACCAACCCAGAAAATTTATTGTTGGAGAGATCTAGTTCCGATGCATGGGAAAGAAATGAAGGAATTGGACCTTCCAATTGGTTCCAACTCAAATTCAGTGAAAGAGGGAAAGATGAAAAATCGAATGTTGGATTTTGGATTGTTCCTCTAATTTGGTTGTTGGAGAGATATATATATTCAATTTCACGATCACGAGAGAACATGCCCCAAAACCAACTTGGAATGATATCAGAAATTTCTGCATTAGAAATATCAAGGTGCAAATAACTTTTCTGAGTTTGAAGCCGTTTTGGAAAATGTGGACCTAGAATGCAAGACCTCAGAATTACCGTTTGCAATTGGAAGGGAGGAATCCAATCAATATGGAAGTTCAAAGCCAGCGAGTTAAAGGACAAATCCAAAAACCTTAATCTGGAGAGTTGAGAGAAGCATTGCTACCCAAGTCCAGATACTCGAGATTAGACATTTGCCCAATGCTTTCAGGTATTGTTCCACTTAACTGATTGTAAGAGAGACCTAACTCTTTTAGTGATGAACAGTTTGCAAGATTAGGTAATGACCCTGCAAGATGATTGTATCCAAGACGAAGAAAAGCAAGAGGTCTCATGCTTCCAAAAACATGGGGGATTAAACCAGTTATACTGTTCTCAGAGAGGTCAATATAAACAAGGCTGACATTGTAGTTTGACGACCATAAAAAAGTTGAAGGAGAAGTGAATTGGTTGGAATTGAGATCAACATGAGCAAGATTTTTAGAAGAATTTATGTTAAAAAGAGTACTAGAATGAATTAGAGGAAAAGGAAGACCACATTCAGCCAATGTCAAATCTGTAAGTTTAGGGAGCTTATTAACTGCTTCCATCCAATCATGAACATACTTAGATTGCTGCTACTAAGGTCCAAATATGTTAAAGAAGAAAAATTAGGTAGCCACGAATTCAGATTTTCTACCTTAGCCAAGAAATTGTAGCTAAGATCGAGACATTGCAAGTGGGTAACGTTTCCAACCTGACTTGGAAATCGACCACCAAAAGAAGCATCAAAGAGATTGAGGTGTCTTAAATTGGAAAGAGAACCAATGAAATCTGGAAGTTGTGTCCCGTTGAAGTTAATGTAAGAAAGGTCCAAATATTTCAAATGCTACAACTCAATCAGTTTATGACTCATCATCTTACCTTGCAAACGGTAGTAAAACTCTGGGCCTCCTTCCTCTTGAAGTGAGTAGGCTTCACTGAAATAAGACCGTCGAAGATTGAGCTGAGTAATACGACCGGTTCGGTTGCTACAACAGGTGGTTTTGTTATTTAAGATTAATGAGGATGTCTTGGGTTCACAACACCATGTGTGCTTATTTAAATTTAAATTTTTACAAATTTCTTTTCAGAAGAATATAAATTTATAACATTTGGCCAAATGATCAAGAAGTATAATTAGAAGCAATGATTTAAATTTAAATGAGCAATGATTTAAATTTAAATTTAACTAAAACAGGTGGTTTTGTTATTTAAGATTAATGAGGATGTCTTGGGTTCACAACACCATGTGTGCTTATTTAAATTTAAATTTTTACAAATTTCTTTTCAAAAGAGTATAAATTTATAACATTTGGCCAAATGATCAAGAAGTATAATTAGAAGCAATGATTTTTGTTGTTTAAAATTAATGAGAGGTCCTAAGTTCGAAATGCTATATGCATGTTTATTCTTTTCGATTTTTACAAATTTTTGTTTCTTTGTTAATTTCTTTTTAAATACTAGCAAGTAGCTAAGTGGGTTGCGGTTTTTAAACATTTGTTCCAATTCAAGTTTAACATTCAACAATGAGTAATGTGTAGGTCAAATTTGCAAATCATATCATCAAAAGGTTTAATTTAGTGCTCAAAAACAACATTATTTTTTATGTCCTATATTGACAAGGTCAGTAAATAAGAAAAAACACCTCACAATTTATATAAAAACACTTTAAAAGTTCGGATAGAGAGGAACAAAACTCATCATCTATCTACTTGTAAGCCTAGAGATTTTTGGTTTTCTTCTCTCGATACAAAATAAATTAGTTCTTCTATGCTTCTAAATTATTTTGAGTTTGAAGTGTTTTTCTAAGTATAATTTTATCGATGTCTTTATGTAAAAACAAATAATTTTCTTATATAAAGTAATGTCACACTTTTTAGCATCATCCCAGATCTCAAAAATCTAAGGACCGGCCCTGGCCATTGGATTAGACTGATAGGCCATACTCAGAACTTTAGAACTTGGAAAGATAGTGGTAACTACACAGCAATAATGATGTTAACAAAAAGAGCATCAGAATCTGAAAAATTAATGGACGTCATTGTGTATTGTGGAAATTAATGGACCTTTGGTAGCCACCCTTCACTACAAACGACTTTTCTTCTACCATTGGAATCATATCAAGTTGCTGTCTAACATTAAGGTTCTTGTCAACCAAAGGCGTGGGAAGACCTATTCCACCATACGCTCTCAATGTTTATGTCTCATATCTTGGTTCAACTATTTGTCTTCCTTTCTCTGCCGGTACCTTATTAATAATTTGTTCCAAGTTTCTCAAGCAAATTTATTGACAAACATAAACTGATACACTATTAAAATGAGATAAAAAGGACCTAACCAGTAGGGAGAGTTTCTGAACAAAGAAAATGAAGAAAGGTTGTGAGGTTAATCAATTCTGTGGAGATGTGGACATCCAGAAATGTAATTTTATTGCTTAATGTGAAACGGTAAAAGATGATCAATGAAAAGATTGAGTTCGTGCCGTGATAAGGAATCCTCTAAAAGGTCTCATGAGACCCGCCCACACGCTTATCCCCTCTTGCATCTTGGTTGGAAATAACCGTTGCCAAAGACGCTTTATGTCACTCAAAGATATTATCAATCTTTGCAAAATAAAATGGCCCACAAAACTAAGAAGCAAAATATCTGCTTTGACGTAAACTAGGCTCTAGCTTTCCGAGTCAATATCACTCCATTATTTGCACTGACGTATTTGAAAAGGAATTAAAATTAGACATATCAACTAAAATTAGTAAAAAATGCCACAATATTGACTTGAGTTATTGTTGTTATTAAAAAAGTATTTAAAGAGAAGATGGTATCCATGTGAGGTCAGCATAACAAAAGATATACTGCCACGTACATAAACACAAGCTAAAAGAAAATTGTGGAAAAATAAAAAAAAAGAGAGGAATAACAGCAACAAACACATAGGCGTCAAAACTAACACTCAACCAGTGCATCATTCGCGCATCCAACGCCCCTTCTCTCTCTTAAATTAGAAAAAAAAAATTACAAATTGAGGTGGGTAAGGATGCAGTTGGATATAGTTATTGTTGGAAATGTGCCCTAATTTCAATTATAAGACAATATTTTACAAACATTTCACAAGTTAAATTAAATTCATTTAATATAAGGATAAAGATTATTGTTTAAAGTCGTCTCATTAAATGTTATACACTTAAATAATAGATTCAAGGAATTTGTAATTAAGAGAATGTAATCTAAAAAGTTATCTTCATGAGACATTTTTTTTTTTTGTACAGATCTTAAATATTCCTATCATAGAATTGAGAATTGGACATTGACAATCCGGATAGATCATTACATACCATGTCTTCTCTCCTAGAGAGTGTTTGGTCTAGGGTCATTAGTGTGAATGACACCAGGACAAGTATATAGGTGCTCAATATAAAGTGAGTCGAGTGAACACGATCAACAAAGAGTTATCATACTCATATCATTTGAGAACTCATGGTTGAGATAATGCAAGGTAATCATTTGACCTAAGACATCATAGTTGTCTTATAGTTAGGTCCTTAGTTTTTGGCTATGTTAAAGGCATTCCATTTGGGGGTGTCCACGACATATTTCGGATTAAGCTACTTAATCATGTGTTTCTTCCTTGGCCTCTTCGTATGCAATGGTCTATTTGTTTGGATTGCAATCGGAAGATGACTTTCCATTTCTCTCACATATATCACAAAGGAAATATGGTTGCAGACAATTTTGCTAACATGGGCTTGTCTTCTCCAACTTTGGTATGGCACGATTCCCCTCTGATGGTGGTTCATGCTGCTTTGTTTTTAGACTATGTTGGCTTTCTTGGTTTTTGTTTCTCAATTAATATGCATCTCGGCATACAGGTATGTCTCACTTTCATGTTTTTTTTTCTTTCTAAAATTGTGATATTGCTTGTTTTGTTTTGCAGGTTTAGACCTTTATTTAGGGTTAGGTTTCATGTGCCCATCTTTTCCTTGTATCTTTGTTGTTTTTGTTTTTAGAAGGGTAAGATCTATATCCCCTCTTCTTTTCATGTTTTTTTTAATCTTTTTTTTCTTGTATTATGAGGGGTTCCTGACTAGGTGTACCTTCTTTTTTTCTTTTTTTTCCTTTTTTTTTTTTTTCCGATATTAATAAAATTCACCTTGTACCATTGAGATTTTCTAAAAATGAAAAAAATAAAATTAAGCTCGACCAAGGAGCACACGCGCATAGTTACAAAACACGAAAATAGCAAACATTATTATTCAATATGTGCAGTTACAATAAATTCAAACCATAATGTTCCAGATCCATATATCAAACAAAACCAAACCAAGAAAATAAAACATAGTATTTACAAATTAATAAGTAGGCAGAATCCACATTGGAAATTAACTCTATGGTCTTGCTCATCAGAGTCCGAGCACGTTGGTGGTAAGGATTTTCTACAAACCTCTTTTCTTCAATGTTGTAGACACCGTGATCGAAAGCTCCGTCCGGTCCAATGCCTCTG